GCTGGACTTCTCCGGAGGGCGGCAGCCGGGTCGCCTTCCAGCTCCTTTCCCAGACACTTGACAGCAGAGGCCCAGCTTCCCCCTTGGTCCCTAAATGCCCGGCACTGATCTCAGTGAAGAACGTCATCATCGCCGTCATCGTCGTCGCTGCACTGGAGGGTGAGGGGCGGGTGTGAACTGTGTGCTTTGTTTGTTCTTCAGTATTGGGATTTGAACTCAGGGCCTCGCACCATGCTGGGCAGGTGCTCTGCGGCTGGAGCGCCTCCTCCAGCCCTGCTCTGCTTTAGCTGTTTTTCAGATAGGGTCTTGCTTTTTATTTTATTCATTTGTTGCCCTGAGCTAGCTTTGTACTATGGTCCTCCCATTTAGCGGTAGGGATGACAGGTGCTTCCAGCACACCCAGCTTCCTGGCTGAGATGGGGTGTCACTTTTTCCCAGGGTTGGCCTTGAGCTGTGAACCTCCCAATCTCTGCCTCCCAAGTAGCCAGGATGACAAACATGAGTAACTATGCCCAATTACTTGTGTGTGTGTGTGTGTGTGTGTGTGTGTGTGTGTGTGTGCTGATCCTAGGGCTTGAACTAAGGGCCTGGGGGCTGTTCCTTGTGCTTTTTTGCACAAGATTGGTGCTTTACTACTTGAGCCATAGCTCCACACCTGGCCTTTTGGTGGTTAACTGGAGTTGAGAGTCTCACAGACTTTCTTGCCTGGGCTGGCTTTGAACCACGATCCTTGGATCTCAACCTCCTGAGTAGCTAGGAACTACAGATGTGAGCCGCTAGCTCTGGGCAAGGTCCTGTTTTCTTTCTAGTCTAGACATAGCTGCTGGACCTCCAGCCACCACAGCCCGCAGGCCAACACAGTACCCCACAGGCCATTCTAGAACAATCCCACGGAGTCCCAACCCCTGGCACAATCTGCTTTCCATCTTTCCACTGAAGGACTGGCATTTTGTAGATTTGACCTAATGCTCTAAATTAAGACAACTGTGCTGAAGCCCAATCAATGAGACGCATTTCACAGGAAAAAAAAAACACAACACTCACCATGCTTGATTGCGAGCGGAAGCCCCGCAGCCTCCGGGCTCCATCCTGCTCCTCCACGGGCTCTGGGCTCCAAATGCAGCCCCAGCTCATCCCCAGCCTCTGGCCTGGCCCCCCTCCTCTCCTCTGACCCCCAGGGTGGCCACTCCCCCCCTCCCCAGCTGCTCCATGCAGAAGTCAGAAGCCGGTGTTCAAAGCTCACCAGCGATCCATTCCTACCCTGCAAAACCCTCTCCTGCCTCTTCTCCTCTTCCTCCTCCTCTCTCCTCCCCTTCTCTCCTGAATGTCCTCTACCCTTGGACCTGCGCCTGCCTTCCCTGCCCACCCAATGCCGCTTGCCCTGCCTCTCACCCTCCCAACTCCTGCTCCTCCCTTGGAGCCAACTCAGTTACCACCTCTGTCCCACAATAAAGGCTCCTGGAGGGCGCCATAGATGTTGGATGGAATGAAAGAAGTGAATGAATGGTGGTAGCCAGGAAAAGACGCTACGGCTGCCAGCACCCCCAGGGCCTGGGGCGCAGCGTGCTGGGGTGAGAGCCTCTGCGGTGACAAATGCTGTGTCCAGCTACGCAGGCCCAAAGCGGAGGCTGGCAGGCTCGGCAGGGAGGCCGGCCGCGAGCCCTGCGGGAGGACGAGGCTCGCAGAGCACAGTCGCCCCACTTGCCAACACGTCTGCGTCGTTCCCAGAGCCATATGGCTTGCCACACTTGAAATATCAACTCTGGGGCCCTTTATGGAAAACATTTGCACAATGCAGGCCCACGCGGGCAGGGGTTGGGTTTTCAGGCAGCGCGAGAAGCCTGGAGGAGGGGCGCGGGGCGCGGGGCGCGGGAAGGCTGGGCCACGCCGCCGCTTCCTCCTCATGCCACGGTTCCAGACATCACACACACAGCTGAACCGCAGAGAGCCAGGAAGGAGAGGGGGAAGGAGGAAAATGGTTTGGATGGTTTTGTTGGTTGGTTTGGGGCTCTACCACTTGGACCACAGCGCCGCTCCCGGTTTTCTGGAGGTTTATTGGAGATAAGAGTCCCGCCGACTGTCCTGCCCGGGCTGGCTTTGAACCGCGATCCTCAGATCTCAACCTCCTGAGTGGCTGGGATGACAGGCGAGAGCCGCCGGCGCCGGGTGCCCGACATAGTCAAACTGAGGCCGCCCGCGCCCACCCGCTCAAATATGACTATGCAGGCCCCGCCCCTTCCTCCGCCGCTCCGCCTCCCCGGCCGGGCGGCAGTCACACGACTCACCCCAGCGGAAGCCCCGCCCCTTCGGCAGAGCGAGGCCGCGGCGGAGCCGGAGCAGCGCCGCCCTCTGCTGGCGATCGCGGAAACTGCAGGGAGGACGGGGTTCTGGGACCTCGGGACCGAGGGGTCTTGGGATGCGGGCCTTGCATGTACTTAGGGGAGCCATGCGCGTCCTTTGCAGGCTGGAGGAAGGGGCCTCTCCACGCTAGCTTGCTCCCCTGCGCGGATCTGGGGGACCCTGGCCTGGATGGGCACCAGCCGCAGGCCGGGCCGCGCCCACCGGTCGCGGGGGCTCCGGCTTCTCGTGGCTTCCTCCAGACTCTGTTGGGCGCACCCCACCCCCACGTGACCCTCCAAGCCCAGGCCTCCCCAGGCTGCGAGGCTGGGGGCCCTGTGGGGCGCCGCGGGTCCTGAGGGGCGGTCAGTGCGGACGCGGCCGTCGGGGTCGGGCCTGGCGGAGCGCGGCGGGGAGGCGGCAGGCCGGCGCGGCTCCTCCAGCCCCTGGCTGGGCGCTAAGCGGGTCCGCGGACGGACGGTCAGCTGTGTGTTCCCAACAGATTCCCGAGGACCGACGCTGTCCCTGGGGAGGGACCCCGGGACTCACCTTTAGACGTGGGGACCTTCCCGAGCTCGGCCGTGAGACGCTGCGGCCTGCACGGCTGAGGCCGCCTGTTGCTCCTTGAGGCCCGGAGGTGGCGGCTCTCGGCCGGCCCCGCGCCGGCGCCCCTGCTCCGCGCCCGCGCCCCACGCCCCGCGCCCGCGCCTGCGCCCCACGCCCGCGCCCCTGCTCCGCGCCCGCGCCCCACGCCCCGTGCCCCGCGCCCGCGCCTGCGCCCCACGCCCGCGCCCCTGCTCCGCGCCCGCGCCCCACGCCCGCGCCCGCGCCCCTGCTCCGCGCCCCGCGCCCGCGCCCCTGCTCCGCGCCCGCGCCCCACGCCCGCGCCCGCGCCCCTGCTCCGCGCCCCGCGCCCGCGCCCCTGCTCCGCGCCCGCGCCCCACGCCCGCGCCTGCGCCCCACGCCCGCGCCCGCGCCCCTGCTCCGCGCCCGCGCCCCACGCCCCGTGCCCGCGCCTGCGCCCCACGCCCGCGCCCGCGCCCCTGCTCCGCGCCCGCGCCCCACGCCCCGCGCCTGCGCCCCACGCCCGCGCCCGCGCCCCACGCCCCGTGCCCGCGCCCCGCGCCCGCGCCCCTGCTCCGCGCCCCACGCCCGCGACCGCGCCCCTGCTCCGCGCCCCACGCCCCGCGCCCCACGCCCCATGCCCGCGCCCCTGCTCCGCGCCCCGCGCCCGCGCCCCGTGCCCGCGCCCGCGTCCCACGCCCCGTGCCCGCGCCCCGCGCCCGCGCCCCGCGACTGAGGCACTGGCAGGAGAGAAGACGCTTTGCACTGAACAATGCAGCTATCCGAGCCGGGCCCGGGCGCACGCCTGTCATCCCAGCTATTTGGGAGACTGGGAACCGAGATGGCGGTTCAAAGCCAGGCCGGGCAAGAAGGGCTGTGAGACTCTAAGTGGGGCTGGGAAGGTGGCTCAGTGGTAGAGCACTTGCCTCGCGTGCCTGAGGCCCTGGGTTCGATTCCTCAGCACCACATAAGCAAAATGAAAAAGCCGGAAGTGGCACTGTGGCTCAAGTGGTAGAGCGCTAGCCTTGAGCTGAAGAGCTGAGGGACAGCGCCCAGCCCAGCGTTCAGGCCTCAGAACCGGACCCAAAAAAAAAAGCTCTGCGGGGACTCGGGCCGGCTCCCGGGCCGCGCCGCAGGCTCTGGTGGAGGAGGCCAGGCCGGGGCCTCGCTGAGGAGCGGCCGGCCAGACCTGGCGGGCCGGGGCGGGGCGGAGGCGCAGCAGCTGCGGCCCGGGGACCATGGGGGGGGGGGGGGGGAAACAATGGCCCGGGACAAAGGCCGGGATGCCGGGCGCGCCGCCGCCGCCAGGGCGTCTGAAGGGCACGGCGGGGCCCATTGTCCGCGGGGAGGCAGGTGACCAGAGCTAAAAATACCCGGCCGGCCCGGGCAGGCCGAGGCGGGGGCTGACGGCCTGGGTTCGAAGCCCAGCGCTGCCCCTGCCCACTGGGCCTTTTTTCTCTTTCTTTTGGTCGGTCGTGGAGCTTGAACTCGGGGCCTGGGCGCTGCCCCTGCGCTCCAGCCACAGCGCCACTTCCGGTTTTCCGGTGGTGTATCGGAGATCAGAGTCTCGCGGACTGTTGTGCGGGCTGGCGGATCCTCGGATCTCAGCCTCCTGGAATGACAGGCGCGAACCCCGGCGCTCTGCGGTTCTTGGTGTTGGTTTTGGGGTCTCAATCCCGACCCCCCTCCCGCCACCCGATGAACCCTCCCGGGTCCTGCGTCCCCCCACCTTCCTGTGCGGGGAGCTGGTCGGTTCTACAGTCAGTCCACGACCCTCGTCACGGGGCGGGAGCTGGGACCCCGGCCCTCCGCGCCTGCTCCCCGTGACCGCGCGTGGGGGGCACGAAGAGCGGGGCACGGCGCCGAGAAGGGAGGTGCGAGGGTGCGGGTGCGGGTCTCTGCGCCCGGGCGTGGAGGGCGCGTGCGCGGCGACCCCCCAGAGCCCAGGGGCCCCGCCCCCCCCACCCGGCCGACCTCGCTCTAACCTTGACGGCATTCCGGGCCCGGCCACGGCGGCCCTGACTTCAGCGGAAAGGCACGGGGCCGGGGGGGGGGGGGGGGGCGGGGGCGCGGCGCCCTCACCTAGCGCCGGGGCCGCGGTTATTTTTAGCGCCCCGAGGTATTTATTGTCGGGCGGCGCGGCCAGGTGCCCGGCAGCGCGGTCGGCACCATGGTGAGCCCGCGGTCCCCACGGCCGCGCCCCGGCCCCGGCCGCACCGCAGCCGCACCGCACCCGGCCCCGCCGCGCCCCGGCCCCCGCCGCGCCCCGGCCCCCGCCTCCCCGGCCGCACCGCGCCCCGGCCCGGCACAGCTGGCGGCACGGCCGGGGCTCGAACGCGGGGCCTGCGCCGACCCCAGCTCTTCACTCAAGGCCGCAGCGCCGCGCGCAGCTTTTGGGGTTCACCGGGGCGAGTCCCCGGCTCCCGCCCGCCGGCTGCGGCAGGGACCTCGGGCTGGCGGCGGGGACGGAGGGGACGGCGGACGGCGGGCGGATGGCGGGCGGCGGACGGCGGGTGGACGGCGGGCGGACGGCGGGGACGGTGGGTGGACGGAGGGGACGGCAGGCGGCGGGGACGGAGTGGACGGCGGGCGGGCGGCGGGGACTGCGGGGACGGAGGGGACGGCGGGCGGCGGGGACGGCGGGGACGGCGGGTGGACGGAGGGGACGGCGGGGACGGCGGGTGGACGGAGGGGACGGCGGGCGGCGGGGACGGAGGGGACGGCGGGGACGGCGGGTGGACGGAGGGGACGGCGGGTGGACGGAGGGGACGGCGGGCGGCGGGGACGGAGGGGACGGCGGGTGGACGGAGGGGACGGCGGGCGGCGGGGACGGAGGGGACGGCGGGCGGCGGGGGCGGCGGGGACGGAGGGGACGGCGGGGACGGCGGGTGGACGGAGGGGACGGCGGGCGGCGGGGACGGAGGGGACGGCGGGGACGGCGGGTGGACGGAGGGAACGGCGGGCGGCGGGGACGGAGGGGACGGCGGGTGGACGGAGGGGACGGCGGGCGGCGGGGGACGGAGGGAACGGCGGGCGGCGGGTGGACGGAGGGGACGGCGGGCGGCGGGGGCGGCGGGGACGGAGGGGACGGCGGGGCGGGCGGCGGGGACGGCGGGGACGGCGGGGCGGGCGGCGGGGACGGGGGGGGGACGGAGGGGGCGGCGGGGACGGGGGGGGACGGAGGGAGCGGCGGGGACGGCGGGCGGGCGGGCGGGCGGCGGGGACGGCGGGCGGGCGGGCGGGCGGCGGGGACGGCGGGCGGGCGGGCGGGCGGCGGGGACGGCGGGCGGGCGGGCGGGCGGCGGGGACGGGGGGGGGGGGACAGAGGGGGCGGCGGGGACGGCGGGCGGAGGTCCGACCCCCCCCACGCCGCCTCGCGGCGGAGCCGCTGCAAACCGGGGCCCACGGGGGCGGCGGGGGGCCTGGGCCCCCATCTCCAGGCCTCGGCCGCGCCCCACGACCGCTTCTTCCCCAGGCCCCAAAGAAAGCCAAGAAGAGAGCAGAGGGCGCCAACTCCAACGTCTTCTCCATGTTCGAGCAGACGCAGATCCAGGAGTTCAAGGAGGTGGGGAGGGGGCGGGCGGGCACGGGGAGGGGGCGGGCGGGCACGGGGAGGGGACGGGCGGGCACGGGGAGGGGGGCAGGCGGGGGCGGGCAGGGGGGCGGGGATGGGTCAGGCGGGCACGGGGAGGGGGCGGGGGCGGGGAGGGGGCAGGCGGGCACGGGGAGGGGGGCAGGCGGGCACGGGGAGGGGGGCAGGAGGGGGCGGGCAGGGGGGCGGGGATGGGGCAGGTGGGCACGGGGAGGGGGCGGGGGCGGGGAGGGGACAGGCGGGCACGGGGAGGGGGGCAGGGGTGGGGGGGCAGACGGGCACGAGGAGGGGGGCAGCGGGTGGGAGGGGGGCAGGCGGTCACAGGGGGGGCAGGGGCGGGGAGGGGGGCAGGGTTGGGAGGGGGGCAGGGAGGGGACAGGCGGGCAGGGGGAGGGGGGCGGGGGCGAGGAGGGGGCAGGCTGGCACGGGGAGGGGGGCAGGGGTGGGGGGGAAGACGGGCACGAGGAGGGGGGCAGGGGGCGGGAGGGGGGGCAGGCGGGCACAGAGGAGGCAGGGGCGGGGAGGGGGGCAGGGATGGGAGGGGGCAGGGGAGGGGGCAGGTGGGCACAGGGAGGGGGCATTGGCAGGAGGGGGACAGGCGGGCACGGGGTGGGGGTGGGAGGGGGGCAGGGGCAGGAGGGGGCAGGCGGGCACGGGGGAGGGGGGCGGGGAGGGGGGGGCAGGGGCGGGAAGGGGCAGGCGGGCACGGGGGGGGGGGGGGCAGGGGGGGGGACTTTCCCTGGCTTCTCGGCCACCCCACTGTGTCTCCCGGCCAGGGTGCCAGGGGCAGAGATTATAGGCGTGAGCCACTATACTGCTTCCAATATCCCACCGTGCTCTGGAAGAGTCCAGAACAGCCCAGTCTGGGTCCTCGGCCCCCAGGCCCGGGGCTAGACGGTGACATGCCCCCCCCCCCCCCACACACACACAGGCCTTCACCATCATGGACCAGAACCGGGACGGCTTCATCGACAAGAACGACCTGAGGGACACGTTCGCCGCCCTGGGTGGGTCCCGACTGTCCTTGTGTGTGTGGGGGGGGGGCTGTGGGGGGGGGGGGCTGCGCGGGGGCAGAGCTGGGTCCCAGCCACCTCCCTCCCCTCCCCCCCTCCCCTGCGGCAGGCCGCGTGAACGTGCGGAGCGAGGAGATAGACGACATGATCAAGGAGGCGCCCGGCCCCATCAACTTCACCGTGTTCCTCACCATGTTCGGGGAGAAGCTCAAGGGTGAGGGGGGGCTGGGGGCATGGCCGCGGGCTGAGGCCTCTGCGCCTTGGGGAGCCCTGGCCCTCCCACACTCGTGACCCCCCTCCCATCCAGGGGCAGACCCCGAGGAGACCATCCTCAACGCGTTCAAGGTGTTCGACCCCGAGGGCAAGGGGGTGCTGAAGGCCGACTAGTGAGTAGCTGGGGGACTGGGAGCCCCACTGTCCCACCCCTACACGGATTGCAGCCCCCTCTCTTCCCCCCAGTGTCCGGGAGATGCTGACCACGCAGGCCGAGAGGTTCTCCAAGGAGGAGGTATGAGGCCGGTGCCCGCCAGGGCTCACACACGAGGAAACTGAGGCTAGGAAGTCAAGTCAGGGGTTGACAGGACGGGGGTGGTGGGGAGGCCCCGAAGTCCCCCTGGGCGCCGCGGCAGGGGCCGCAGGGCCAGGGAGTGCCCTGGGAATGCCCCCGGTGTCCGTGGAAAACACCCCCGTGGCCCGCACGGGCTCAGGTAAAAGCCGCCCCCACCTCCCACCAGACCTATGACTGCACGTGCTCCACTTGCCGTGCCTCAGTTTCCCCGTGTCCAGGCAGAGTCCTTGGAGGCTTCTACAAGCCAGGAGAGGGAGGGAGGGAGGGAGGGGTGGGTGCCCGCAACAGGCCAAGCCACCCACCCGCCCCCCCGCCCCCCCGGGCCTGGGCCACAGCCCCCTGCGCCTCCCTCCGCAGATCGACCAGATGTTCGCCGCCTTCCCCCCCGACGTGACAGGCAACCTGGACTACAAGAACCTGGTCCACATCATCACCCACGGCGAGGAGAAGGACTGAGCCCGGGCACCCCTAAACCCCCCTACACCCCCCCACCCTGTGACCCAGCCCCCACCCGCCGCCTGCATCCTCACCCTGTGCGGGGCTGATGCAAATAAACAAGGTCCGTGCGTGCGTGCGTGGCCGCCTTCACGCTGCTTCCTGTGCGGCTCACAGGCCGGCGCCGGCGCAGAGTCCGGAGGACTCTTCACTAGTGAGAGACCCTTGCTGCCACGCGGGGCGCTTTCCAACAAGGGCCCCACTTAACAGGACGGCTGGCTTCCTCGTAGTTTTCATCTCCCCCTTCTGGGGCTCGGGGTGAGGAGGGGACCCTCGCGCAAATGCTGCACTCACTAAGCAAACACTGAACCCCTGAAGCACAATTTAGGGAAAGCGGGTGCTGTATGTGCGCGTGTGTGTGCGTGTGTGAAGCTGGGTCAGGCCTTGGCTCCACTCTGACCAGAGCCGGCTACAGCGGCAAGATCCCAAGGAAAGCAAGGGCTAGCCTGCGGGTTGGGGGTGCTGCACCATCTGGGCTCCCCAGTTCTGCCTGCGCTCAGGGGGCGCCGCCCTTCTGTCCATGGGGGGGAGGGGCGCCTTGGCGTCAGAGATGCCCCCGGCCCCCAGGACAGCGCCACTCGCCCTTGTGCAGGAGCTGGGAAGGCGATGCCCCAAAGAGCAAGCAGGGAGGGGGCAGGGTCAGAGGACCCCAAACCCAAGGTTGGGGCACAGCCAAGGCCCAGGAGGGGAGGAGGGGAAGAGCCGGTGCCAGAGCACCCTCCCCCCCCAGCCCCCCCGCTCCGCCATGGCCAGCTGCTCCCGCGTGACTGCACACACGGAGCGCGTGAAAACACCGTGGGGTGGGTGCAGGTGGCTCACGCCTGGCATCCCAGCAACTCAGGAGGCTGAGATCTGAGGATCACGGTTCAAAGCCAGCCGGGCAGGAAAGCTGGCGAAACTCTTATCTTCAAAGACCCAGCAAAAAGCCAGAGGTGGTGCTGTGGCTCAAGTGGTAGAGCGCCCGCTTTGAATACAAAGGCTCAGGGACAGCTCCCAGGCCCGAGGGCACAGGAAGGAGGAGAAGAACGGGGTGGGTGGACCGAGTGTTTATTCCCAGCCTCAGAGGCCCCCCTTCTTGGCCTTGTCGTGGTCCCGCGTGTCCCGCCGGGCCTCGCGGCTGCTGCTGCTGTCCCGCATGCTGCCGCTGCTCTCCAGCACCAGCTGCCGCAGCGCACTGTGCTCCAGTGGCCGATCCGCTGCGGGGCAGGGTGGGCCGGGATGGCGCAAGTGAGCACCGGAGCTGGGCCTCCCCGGCACAGGCTGCCCAGCCGCATCTGCCAGGGCCTGGCCTACCAGGTTGGCCGGCCCTGGGTCTGGACACTGTGATGCTCCCACAGAGCACATTTGACCCGGGCGTCCTTTTTAGTGGCTGCATAATACTCCACCAGGTACATTGCATGGGTGAAGGTGACTATTATGGCCCACCATGAGGGGGCATCCTGTCTCTTGTCCCTGGCTGGGGCCCTTTGCTGCCTCTCTGACCCCTGAAAAGCTTTTTGGAAGGATCTCTTTCAAGCTACAAGTGGCCACATCTGACTCCCTCCCCTGAAAAGAGCAGGCCTTGAACCTCAGGGTCACGACTGAACAGCTTCCATTCTGGGCTTAGGGGTCACAAGCAGGGCGAGGCTCAGGCTGGGCACCCAGAGGAGCAGGAGGAGGGCTCACAGAACGGAGGAAGAGAGGCTCCAGGGCCTGGGGTGACAGCTTGGCTTGCTTGCTCACGGCTGGCTCTCTACCACTTGAGCCATGCCCCCAGTCTGGTGTTTTGCTGAAGTTCATTGGAGATAAGAGCCTCTCAGACTGTTTTTTTGGCCCAGGATTGGCATTGAACTGCGATCCTCCAGATCTCCGCCTCCCGAGTAGCTGGGATGCCAGGTTGCGCCACCGCACCTGTCATCTGACTTGCTCACGAGGGGGAGAGGGAGTTTCACACACCCCCGGGGACCTGTGCCCCCCATCATCAGTCCCCAGGCCACCACCACCCCCAGCCAGAGACTGTGCTGGAGGACACTGCCTGCACAGCAAGAGGGGAAACTGAGGCCCGGTGTGCTGCGGGATCGAGACCCAGCAGCCCACCTGGGTGGCAAGGAGGAGCAGCTCACCTTCGTCCAGCTTGTCTATGAGGGGGTCGAAGCCCATCGCCGGGGGGGTCACCTTCACGGGCTCGGGGGGCTTGAGCAGTGCCGAGCCACCCCAGAAGGGGTTCACGAAGCCCCCGGGGACGTCCGCCCTCGGGGCGTACTTCGCCCGCCGCTGTGCCTCGAGCAGCAGCAGCTCATTGGTTCTCTTCTCTATCATGGCTGTGGGAAGAGCAGCCCGCTGGGGAGAAGCAACACGGGCGGGGGACGCGCGGGGACGCACAGGCCCACGCACCATCCCCCCCCAGGCCTTGGCCTACAAGATCCCCACGCTTCTCCCTCCACCACTGCCAGGCGCCACCTGTGCTGTCTATTTTTCTAAAGCTTTCTGGGGTTTTTGGTCAGTATCAGCATTTGAACTCAGGGCCTCTTGCTTGTCCAACTTGCTGACACAACTGACACTCTACCACCTGAGCCACACCTGCAGCCCAGCTTTTTACTGCTTAGTTGGAAAGGGGAGTCTCGGGGACTTTGTCTGCCTGGGCTGGCTACAAGCCATAAATAACACTCGGTTGTCTCAGTGTCCTGGGTAGCCGGGATTATAGGCGTGAGCTACTGTGCTCAGATTTGAACCCAGGCCTTTCCCCCTGCCCCCGCCCTTCCCCCCCCTCCATTCCGGTGGCTGGCAGTGGGGTGCCGGGCTTGGAGGGGCTCACCTAAGTACTTGGGGAGGTTGAGGTCGGAGATGGTGCCCATCTCGCCCAGGTGGCCCTGGATCTCGGTGTTGTCGCAGCCAATCCTCTGGAAGAGCTTCTCCAGGGAGCCCTTGAGTTGGCTCAGCATGCCGCTCAGCTCCCCTTGCCGGGCCTCGCACAGTTCCGCCTTCTCCGTGGCCACCTTCACCTTCTCCTGCGGGTCACGGGTCCTGCCAGGTCAGCCAGGGGGAGGGGGGTCCCCACCAGGGGCTCCAGCACCCCAAGCTGCAGGAACACTCAATGCCTTTTACTTGGGAAGCAGGTCCCCCATGGGGGCCCTGGGGAGTGGGGTGCAGGGTGGGAAGAAAAAGGGATTCTCCTGCGTTGAGGCGTGCTTCAAACAGTACACACAATGACCCGGGTTCAAACCCAGAACCACCGGGGGGGAGAGCGCTTGCTGAGCATGCATGAAGCCCTGGGTTTGATTCCCCAGTGCCACATGAACAGAAAACGCTGGAAGTGTCGCTGTGGCTCAAGTGGTAGAGTGTGAGCCTTGAGCAAAAGAAGCTCAGGGACAGCGCCCAGGCCCTGAGTTCAGGCCCCAGGACTGGCGATCATCATCATCATCATCATCATAATCTGGAAGTGGAGCAGCAGCTCACGTGCTAGAGCACCAGCACTGAGTGGAAAAGCTCAGGGACAGCACCTAGGCCATGAGTTCAAGCCGCAGGCCTGGCGCACACATCACAGAAATACAAAGCAAAGACAAAGTCCACCGAGTATTTGTGGCACTTGGAAGGAAGCCCCACCCCATGGCAGTGCTGAGCCCCAGGGGTCCCCAGGCCTCAGGTCCCCCCCTGAGTCCTCCACCCCAACCCAGGGCAGCTGCCCCAGCACGGAGATGGGGGCAGGGAGAGGGGCCCCTGCGAGCTGAGCCCGTGAGGCCTGTGGGAAATTCCAGCTCCTGACCAGCTGGCTGTGGTGTTCTGCTGCTCCCTTGTGGCCAGATAGAGGTGGCACTGCATCCCCACTGTGATGCAGTAGAGGCTGTGGGCAGGGGATGGGGCAGCCAGACCCACAGACAGGCAGACAGACGGGTTGGTGGGCAGACAGGCAGGCAGACAGGCGGGCAGACAGACAGACAGGCAGGCAGGCAGACATGCAAATAGACAGGTAGGCAGGCAGACAGACAGACAGGTGGGCAGAAAGGCAGACAGGCAGGCAGGCAGGTGGGCAGACAGGCAGACAGATAAGAAAGCAGGCAGGCAAGCAGGCAGACAGGCAGATAGGTAGACAGGCAGGCAGGCAGACATGTAAACAGACAGGTAGGCAGGCAGACAGACAGACAGACAGACAGGCAGGCAGAAAGGCAGACAGACAGGCAGGCAGGTAGACAGACAGGCAGACAGATAAGAAAGCAGGCAGGCAAGCAGGCAGACAGGCAGATAGGTAGACAGGCAGGCAGGCAGACATGCAAATAGACAGGTATGCAGGCAGACAGACAGACAGACAGGTGGGCAGAAAGGCAGACAGGCAGGCAGGCAGACAGATAGACAGGCATACAGACAGGCAGGCAGGCAGACAGACAGACAGGCAGGCAGGCAGGCAGGCAGGCAGACATGCAAACAGTAGTCAGGCAGACAGGCAGGCAGGCAGACAGGCACACAGACAGGCAGACAGGTAGACAGACAAGCAGGCAGACAGACAGGCAGGCAGACAGGTAGACAGACAGATAGGCAGGCAGGCAGGCAGACAGGCACACAGACAGGCAGACAGGCAGGCAGGCAGACAGACAGGCAGGCAGACAGGCAGGCAGGCAGGCAGGCAGGCAGATGGGAGGGCGGGCAGACAGACAGGCAGACATACAGACAGACAAGACAGGCAGACAGGCAGGCAGACAGATGGGCACGCAGGCAGACAGGTAGACAGACAGGCAGGCAGACAGACAGACAGGCAGACAGACAGGCAGGCAGGCAGGCAGGCAAGCAGGCAGACAGGCAGGCAGACAGGTAGACAGACAAGCAGGCAGACAGACAGGCAGGCAGACAGGTAGACAGACAGATAGGCAGGCAGGCAGGCAGACAGGCACACAGACAGGCAGACAGGCAGGCAGGCAGACAGACAGGCAGGCAGACAGGCAGGCAGGCAGGCAGGCAGGCAGATGGGAGGGCAGGCAGACAGACAGGCAGACATACAGGCAGACAAGACAGACAGGCAGGCAGACAGATGGGCAGGCAGACAGACAGGCAGACATACAGACAGACAAGACAGACAGGCAGGCAGGCAGACAGATGGGCACGCAGGCAGACAGGTAGACAGACAGGCAGGCAGACAGACAGACAGGCAGGCAGGCAAGCAGGCAGACAGGCAGGCAGACAGGTAGACAGACAAGCAGGCAGACAGGTAGACGGACAGGCAGGCAGACAGGCAGGCAGATAGGCAGACAGACAGGCAGGCAGGCGGGTGGGCAGACAGGCAGGCAGACAGACAGACAGGCAAACAGGCAGACAGACAGACAGACAGACAGGCCGGCAGGCAGGCGGACAGACAGAGAGACCCAGCTCACCTCCATCTGCTTCAGCGCCAGCTGGCTGTCATCCTGGTCTATCTGCTGCTGAGACCGCAGTTGGATGATGGCGTCCTACCCGGGAGAGAATCTCAGGGTGAGAAACAGAGTGCTCCTTCCCCATCCCCCAACACCCCACCTGACACTCTGCCCGCCAGACCCTCCCCCACACCCTACCTGACACCTGGCCTGACAGACACCCTGCCTACACCTCACCAACTGACAACCCCTGACACCCCCTGCGGCCCCAGGGCCCTTTTGAGCAGCTCCAGGACCCTGGTCCCTGCTGGCCCATGGAGCTCCCGCGCTTCTTAATGAAAAGGGGGTGCTGGCACAGTGCGTGGCGACTGTCTAGAATGAGACGGTTGGCAGGACTTTCTAACCTTCTGCCTGCTCTAAGATTGGGTACTGCTCAGTCTGGGGACCTGCTGTGTCCTCGCCCCAACTCCTGTGGCCCCTGCCACCATGAGGCCTGGTGGAGTCTGGTCTTCCCGCCTTCCAGGTCCACACATCCTGCAATGCTACACATGGCCACCAGAGGGCAGCGGCTCAGCGCCTTGGCCTGAGGTGGCCAAGGGGACCTGGGAAAGAATCAAACTCAGGAGTTTGGGGTGAACTTGGAGCCCTTCTCCTCCAGAGAACCTCATGGCCCACGAGGAACATGAGATGCTGTTGGGTCTGATGTTCTGTGGGAGGACACGAGGTCTGATTTTCCCGTGGAACACCTGATGTCTCAATACTTGTGAATACTAAGGTAAAGCCAGTGTTAGAACCCTGCAGGCTTTTTTTTTTTTTTTTGGGTCCGGTCATGGGGCTTGAACTCTGGGCCTGGGCGCTGTCCCTCAGCTCTTCAGCTCAAGGCTAGCGCTCTACCACTTGAGCCACAGCGCCACTTCCGCCTTTTTTCTTTTTGCTTATGTGGTACTGAGGAATCGAACCCAGGGCCTCAGGCATGCAAGGCAAGCGCTCTACCACTGAGCCACCTTCCCAGCCCATCCCTGCAGGCTTTTAATTAATTAGTTTTTGCCTGTCCTGGGACTTGAACTCAGGGCCTGGGCACTGATCCTGGGCTTCTTTTGCTCAAGGCTAGCACTCTACCATTTGAGCCACAGCGCCACTTCCAGCTTTTTCTGTGTATGTGGTGCTGAGGAATCAAACCCAGGGCTTCATGCATGCTAGGCAAGTGCTCTACCACTGAGCCACATGCCTAGTCCAGGCTTTTAAATTGCAAACAATCCTTTCAAACCTGAGCCCTACTCTGAGCAGAGAGACTCGACGCCTCGTACCCCATTCCACCCCACCCCTCCTCCGTCTGCTGGTGCCTGTCAAGGATATCGGCCAGCCAGGAGCCATAGAACACAGAGGGGGCCCGACACGGGGAGGCCATGGTGAGACCTTGGGGAGAAAATGCTGTAATGAAGACTTCCCTGCTCCCCGGTGGCCTTGGCCCTGCAGACCAGACATTCTTATGGGGTGATCTTAGTACCCCAAGTTCAAAGATTAATCCTGGGGTCCTCAGCTTAGAGACAGACGCTGTCAATTTTAATAAATAGTTTTTCCAACTCCCTGGTTAACCAGGGGCAGGAGGAGCCTGGCATCTGGGCCTCTGTTTTGGGGCCTCTGTTTCATGTGTGTGCGGAGCTGTCCTCTCCACTGCACTTTGCAATGCCCTTGGGCCTCAGGAATGCCCTGGCGTCTCTGTGGCGGGGACTGACATTGCCCCTCAGGATCAGCGGTGCCCTGAGACCAGATTACCCCAAATGAGGCCCTGCAGTGTGCAGGCTACCTCGATGGGACCCGCGCCCCCCAGGAACCGGACTGCTCCCCTCGAGTGATGACGGCCATGACAACATCTCAGGGACCCCACCAACCAGAGCGAGGTGACCAGCCAGGCCGTCCTGTGCCTGGGACCCTCCAACTCTGCACACCTTTGCCCCGGCCCCTACTTCCCCTCTACTGTGTGCCGTGAAGATGGCGGAGGGTGACCTGGGGTGCCACCTTCCAAAGCCTCCAGCTCTCTCTGCCATACTTCCTTCCTATCACTCTCCCCAGGCTGCGTTTAGCCTGGCAGTGGAGGCCACTGGGAACCTCAAATGTCCTCATGGTGGACACAGGCTGCAGGGCTCAGGGAGGGGAGGTCAGTGGAAGGTCCAGGTCAGTCCTGTCTGGGAGCTCGTTTCCTGGCACCCCCTCTGTGGCCCTGGGCACTGGGCGTGCACAGGAGATGCGCCCAGGTGCCTGTTCTGCAGGCAGTGAAGAGCAGCGGGAGGGTCCCTGGAAGCCAGGCCCAAATCATTACCCAATCCACTGCTGCCCACCCACCTTGCCCTTATTGGATCCCATGTTGTGGACTCCAGCACAAACGGCCAATAGATGTCAGCTTCCATATTTGGTCCAGCCTATGGGGAGCTGCCTTGTGTTTGGCTTCTGCTGAAACACAGCCAATGGGAGGCACAGTCTGGAGACTGGCAGGTGGGAGAAGGCAGTACTTACTTTCCACCTGGCCTATTGCTATTGCTTGTTGCCCATCAATGGTTTTTCTCTAAATCTACCTGTTAGTTCTGTCATTCTGTGGGCCATGTCCAGGCCTTCCTACTATGCCTGTCACCTTCAGTGAGAGACGCCACTCCTTCCCTGGCTCTTGGCATTCACATTGGCCTTCCTGCTACTTATTAAAATGAGCTCACTGTACTTATGGAAGTAAACTTAAACATCCTGTGTTCTAGCTGTGCCTGTCTGCACACAGGAGATGGGGGACTGAGGTGACATCTGTGTGCGGTAAACAGGAAAGCCAGGACCGTGCAGGGGCGGGTGGGGCGGGGAGGGGTTCCACTGAGGTCTCAGTGGCCACAAGACCCAGGCGAATATGGGAGGGCTGATGCATGGCACTAAGGACTGTTTACGTCCTGGGGAGACTAAGGAGTTACGTCGAGAAATTATGGGCTGCACAAAGGCTAGCAGGTTTGTTTCTTGCAGTACTTGTGAGGACCCTTGCACTGCTCTCACGCACCAGGAGGACGGCCGCCAGGGAGCAGACATGGAGGCTTCACGTGCTTCTCTTGTACATTTCTCATCTTGTGGTGGCTCTCCCCCTTACCACCCTTTCAAAATACAAACAGCAATCCTTGGGCCCACCTGGATCTGCTGCGTCTTCTTCTGCACCATCTCCATGTCGTTGTTGAGCTCCGTGAGGTAAGTGAACCGAGCGAAGTTCTTCTCCTCCTTGGCCACGAAGTCCTCGATGAGCTGGTTGAGGTCGCCATTCGAGGTGAACTTGAGCAGGCGCAGGTGCGCCACCTCGTAGCTCTCGAAGCTCTCGCCCTTGCTCTGCTTGCCGTGCTTCTTGATCTTGAGAGCTGGGAAGGTCAGAGAGCGGCGTGGACGTGGACAGGGTGGACTGGGGGGCACAGGCGGGGCATGGGCGGGGCAAAGAGGCGGGTGCCCCCTGCTGCCTGATGGCCCAGCCTGGGCTGAAGCTGGATTTTCCCAGATCAAGTTTTCTGCTTTACCAAGACCCAACTCCACAGCTCCTGTGTGCCAGGCACCGGGCTGGGCTCGGTAGGCACCAGATCTCTGCCCGCAGAGGACCCAGGACAAGGACAGAAAGGAGGAAATCTTCCTCTCACCATGGTGGCCCGAAGGCACGCTGGGTGCTGGGGTGTGGCCTTAGCTGTGTGGCTGTGGTTGGGGACAGTGGTCAGGACAGGGCAGTGCGCACAGCTGAGGAAGGTGAAGGGCACACAGTTCTGGAGAAGGCCCAGCGCTCGGCCAGTTCAAGGCATCCCAACCAGAAAGTTCTCCTTGTTCTCTCTCTAGCCTAGAAACCTGAGGTCTCCCAGGTTCTTCTAAACCCAGTCTCATTCTCTTTGACTTGACCACCACAGGGCCATCAGAAGGAACGTTCTAGGTCCTTCCAGGCATAGCCATGGAACCCCCTTTATGTGTGTCACGGGTTCTCAGCACCACTCTGGGCTCCATGGGATGCCCATCTTGTGGCCTATAGGCCATACGGAAACCACAAGTGACGAACACTGACAACAGGCGGAGGAGGCTGAGGGGTGGCTGGCAGGCGGAAGGGCGGGTGGACCTATGGTTGAGCCGGTGGATGAGTGAGTGGGTGGATGGTTAGGTGGACTGACAAAGGGTCCAAAAGCTAGAAAAGCTTTGGTTGTTTCTTTGTTAATTTTTGTGGGGAAAACATAAGGTTTCTCAGAAACACTTGTAGCGATGCAGTCCCAAGTGAGAAGACAAGAAAAGGAGAAAGAAACCCAAAGAATCAGTGCTGGTGGCTCAAGCCTATGATCCTAGCTACTCAGGAGGCTGAGATCTGAGGATCATGGTTCAAATCCAGCCCGGGCAGAAAAGTCTGAGGGATTCTTTTTTTGTTTTTTTGTTGGTTTTTTTTTTTTGGGTCCGGTCGTGGGGTCTGAACTCTGGGCTTGGGCGCTGTCCCTCAGCTCTTCAGCTCAAGGCTAGTGCTCTACTACTTGAGCCACAGCGCCACTTCCAGCTTTTTTCTTTTTTCTTATGTGGTGCTGAGGAATTGAACCCAGGGTCTCAAGCATGCAAGGCAAGCGCTCTACCACTGAGCCACCTTCCCAGCCCAGTCTGAGGGATTCTTATCTCCAGTAAACCACCAGAAAACCAGAAATGGAGTTGTGGCTCAAGTGGTAGAGCACTAGCTTTGAGTGAAATAAACTCAGGGACAGCACAACAGGTCCCATGTTCAAGCCCCATAACCAACCAAAAACAAACAAAAATAAAATCTTCATAGATGTCTGAAGTGTGGCTCAGTGGTAGAATGGATAAAATGCAAAGCATGCACAAGGTTTGTTATTTTTGGTGTCTGTGGGGCTTGAACTCAAAGCCTGGGCACTGTGCCTAAGCTTTTTTGCTAGAGGCTGGTGCTCTACCCAGAGCTCCACTTCTGGTTTTTACAGCTCCACTTCTGTTTTTTTTTTTTTTTTTGGTGGCAAATTAGAGATAAGAGTCTCACGGATTTTCCTGCCTGGGCTGGCTTTGAACCACGATCCTCAGATCTCAGCCTCCTGAGTGGCTAGGATGACAGGCATGAGCCTCCAGAGCCAACCTCACCTTGGATTTTATCAGCTACCTTGGGTATTATTTGCTGATGGGAGGATCAGGGGAAGGAGGGGGTACCTTCCTCCTGTTTGGCCTGCTCCTCGAATTCAGAGCGGTCGTTGAGCTTGAAGAGCAGGAATGACTTGAGCTTGCTCTCGTGGTCGTACACGCGCTCCAGCTCTCGGATCTCCAGGTTGTACTGTGAGATGTCCTTCTGCTGGCGCTCCTTCATGGCGGTCGTCCGTGCCATCGCCTCCACCCTGCGGGGTCAGGCCTGTCCCGAAGTGTCCTCCCCTTCCTCTCTCCCTCTCCCAGCCAGTCAGGGGACTTCCTGCCTGGCCCGGCCATCCATTTTTAAGTATCAGAAGAAATACTGAACAACTAGAGCTGTGAGCTCCAGATTGCCCTGAGGGGGATTTTCCTATCCCCACTCTACCACCGTCATTACCACCAGGACTGCCAGTGACACCATCAGCAACATCTCCACCTCCACCACCACCATCGTCATCATCAGCACCACCATCATCATCGCCACCACCACTATAGTAACAGCATCACTACATCACCACCACCACCATCACTATCATCATCATCACTACCACCAGCACCATCACTATAGTAACAGCATCACTACACTACCATCACCATCATCACCATCACTATTGGAATCCCTACATCACCACCACCAGCATCACCACCAGCACCACCACCAGCACCACCACCACCGGTGCTAGTCACATGCTCCTATTTGGTGAGTCTTCCCACCGTGTGAAGAATGCCTATACTCCTGGAAGCCACAGTCGAACCCAGCCACGCATGGCGCTGCCGCTCGCTCTCTTCGGGGCAGACTAAGAAACCCCGGGGGCGGCAGCGCCTCCGCTGCACATCTGCCACTCACCGCGGCTCAGTGGCCATAGCAACTCTAAAGTGGGGTTCACCAAAATCTCTCGGGCAGTGGCAGGGTTGGGAGCCCGGAGTTGCTAGCTGCCCCAGGCTCCAGGCAGCAGTACAGGGGCTCCGGCTCCTAGCCAGCCCCCCCACCGCACCCCCACCATGCCCAGCCACGCTTCCCCTCCTACCCTCCTCCCTGCCTTCCCCCCCAGCCCACCTCTGTCTGTACGCCTGCGCAGATTGCTCGATGGCCATGTTCATGGTCTTCTTCTGTGTGAGCAAGCGCTTGTGCAGCTGCTGGTAGACGTTGTCATAGGCCGCCTTCTCAAAGCGAAGCGTGTCAATCTCCTCCCGGATCCTGGTGTTGGCGCTCATCATCTTGTCAAAGTGAACTGTGACCTGCAGAGAGGGCCCGTCCTGGGGTATGGTCCGCGGATGGGGGGCCATGTGATGGCCCGCAGCCTCGGGGTGACACTCCAAGGGCCTCCTGGGAGACAGTGTCCCTAGGGAGGCAAAACATCACCTCCTAGTAAGAGCGACTACCCCAGATTAAAGAAATGTAAAGTGGGCACTGGTGGCTCCCTCCTGTGATCCCAGCTACCGGGGAGGCTGAGAGATCAGAGGATCACAATTTGAAGCCAGCTGGGCAGAAAGGGTCTAAGAGACTCATCTCCAGTTAACCAGCAAAAAGCCAGAAGTAGAGCTATGGTTCAAATGATAAAGTGCCAACCTTGAGCAACAAAGCTACACAAGAGTGCAAGGTGCTGAGTTCAAGCCCCAGTACTGCCACAAGAGAAAGAGAGAGAAAAAGCAAGTCAGGAAGGAAAGAAGGGAGGGAAGGAGGGAGGGACTTAAGAGACCTAACAATTACATGAATTTTTATATAGATGTTGATTAAATCAACACTGGGTACCAGTGGCTCACACCTGTGATTCTAGCTACTCAGGAGGCCGAGATCTGAGGATCATGGTTCAAAGACAGACCAAGCAGGAAAGTCCCTAAGATTCTTTTTTGTTGTTGTTGTTGGTTTTTTGTCAGTCGTGGGGCTTGGGCTCTGTAGCTCAGCTCTTCAGCTCAAGGCGAGTGCTCTACCACTTGAGCCACAGCACTACTTCCGGTTTTCTGCTGGCTTATTGAAGATAAGTTTCACGGACTTTCCTACTACGGCTGGCTTTGAACCGCGATCCTCAGATCTCAGCCTCCTGAGTAGCTAGGATTACAGGCATGGGCCACTGGCACCCGGTCCATGAGATTCTTTTTTTTTTTTGCTTATGTGGTACTGAGGAATCGAACCCAGGGCCTCAGGTATTCAAGGCAAGCACTCTACCACTGAGCCACCTTCCCAGCCCTCCATGAGATTTTTTTTTTTTTTTGGTCCGGTCGTGGGGCCTGAACTCTGAGTCTGGGCGCTGTCCCTCAGCTCTTCAGCTCAAGGCTAGCACTCTACCACTTGAGCCACAGAGCCACTTCCGGCTTTTTCTTCTTGCTTATGTGGTGCTGAGGAATCGAACCCAGGGCCTCATGCATGCAAGGCAAGCGCTCTACCACTGAGCCACCTTCCCAGCCCCATCCATGAGATTTTTTGGGGGGGTGGGGGTCTGGTCGTGGAGCCTGAACTCTGGGCCTGGGCACTGTCCCTCAGCTGAAGAATCGAACTCAGGGCCTCAGGCATGCAAGGCAAGCGCTCTACCACTGAGCCACCTTCCCAGCCCCCCATCCATGAGATTCTTATATCCAGTTAACCACCAGAAAACCAGAAGTGGTGGTATGGGTCAAAGTGATAGAGTGCTAGCTAGCCTTAAGCAAGAAAAGCTTAGGCACAGTGCCCAGGCCCTAAATTCAAGCCCCATGACCAAAAAAAAAAAAATGTTTGATCAGAGAAACATCTGTAAAGATTGGGTGTTTTGTAATATTAAGGAAATACTCATTTCATTTGCTGCAATACTGGCATGAGGCTTATAAAAAAAGTGTTCAAAGGATGAACCTGTAGAATTTAGAGGTAAAATTGCATAATCCCTTATGTTAATTACTTTAATTAAGGTAAGTAATTTATCTTAAAATACTTCAGGGTAAAAGAGTCATGAAGCAATTAAAGTGAGATGTTAACGATCATTAAACCCAAGTGACAGGTACGTGGGTGTTTATTATTTTATTCCCCCTCTTTTTCTTAATACATTTCTTGGTTTCTTTGGTGTGTGTGTGTGTGTGTGTGTGTGTGTGTGTGTGTGTGTGTGTGTGTGTGTGTGTGTGTGTGTACTAGTCCTGGAACCTGAACTTCAGGCCTGGGCACTGTCTTAGCTTCTTTGGCTTAAGGCTAGTGTCCTACCACTTGAACCACACCTCCACTTGTGGCTTCTAGCTGGTTAGCTGGAGATTAGAATCTCACAGACGGGCTGGGAAGGTGGCTCAGTGTTAGAGCGCTTTGCCTTGCATGCCTGAGGCCCTGGGTTCGATTCCCCAGCACCACATAAGTAAAAAAAGAAAAAAGCCGGAAGTGGGGCTGTGGCTCAAGTGGTAGAGCACTAGCCTTGAGCTGAAGAGCTGAGTGACAGCGCCCAGGCCCAGAGTTCAGGCCACATGACCGGGCCCAAAAAAAAAAAAAAGAATCTCACAGACTCTGGCGGTGAACTGGGCTGGCTTCCAATCATGATCCTCAGATTTGGGTCTCCTGAGTAGCTGGGATTACAAGTGTGAGCCACGCCCCCAGTGCTTTCACGTTTTCCTGATGGGTTTGTGGATTGGTCCAGCCATGTGGAACAACAGCCCAGAGGCTGCGGGAGAGACAGACAGGGCCAAGTAGCTCCAGCCAGGCCTGGTGGTCAGGGTGTGAGGGAAGCGAGGGCTTTCTTCAGTGAGCCAGTGACAAGACCCTCTAAATCATCCACTTTCCCTCTCGCTGGCTTCTGTCCCCAGAGCTGCAGGTTTCCCAGCCTGAGGACTACGACTGCACCTGCCCCTCCGTTCCTTCTCCCTTCTTGCTTTTCCAGGGGCAGCCACCTCTCCCTCTCTTTTAGTCCACAGTTTGGCAGCGCTGTCCTGCCCTGGTGGAAGAACCAGTCAAGAGTGGTAATGTGACTCAGGTCCATTCTCCCATCCAATGATTGGTTCAGGGCTGAGCACGGCACCCAGGATGGTCCAATAGGAACCTGCCCTGGGACATGACAGGAGGCAGCTGGGGAAGGAATGCTGCCATCCAACTCCTATTGGCATCTGTTGGCGTGGAAGTGGGCGGGGCGGATAGCAGATTCTAAAAGGCTTCCTGGCCTGGGTGTCCACCATTAGCTGTCATTCAAGGAAGGGAGTGAGCTCTGTCAGTGGCCTGTCAGGCACTATTCTTTGCTCTGAGCACAGGGGAGGGGGCTGCAGAACACTCCTCACATACGTACGAAATTCAGACGCATTTCCAAAACTTGGATCTGTTTTTGCAGTTTCTGGGGGCTATTAGACTCTTGTATTTTCATGAAGATCTGTTTTTGGTTTGTGATTTTCTTTTCCATCTGAACAATCTAAAAGGGGGAGAGGGAGGGAGCGCAATTGTGTCCATATTTGCAAGGGTACAAATTTTACAGTTCACTCACCGAAGGGTCCCTGTCGGGGGAGTTTGCCTCAGCTCTTGGATGCCTGCCCCATTCCTCTCACTCTTTGCCACTCTGGGGTAAAGTGAAGCCACTGAGACTTTTGGCTCACGCCTAGGCATGTAAATTTGCCTTACCTCTGGCATAAATGTTCACACCTAAAGTCCTAACTACTCAGGAGGGTGAGATCTGAGCATCAGAGTTCAGAGCCAGACTCCGATCTCCAATTAACCAACAAAAAGAGCTAGAAGTAGTGGTGTGGCTCAAGTGGTAAAGCACCAGTCATGAACAACAACAAAGTCAATCAAGAGCCTGAGGCCCTGAGTTCAAGCCCCAGAATTGTTGTGTGTGCACACACACCTCTTAAAGCAGAGGCATTAGCTGTAACTTCAGTGTTTCTGCCCCTAGTCAGCCTGGTCCCAGAAAGAGAGAATCAACAAGGGCCCCTAACCAGAGCCAGGAAAGATGTAGCTTTAAGCCTCAGAAACTCGGGAAGGGGTGATGTTTGCTACTCACCTTCACTAGCTGATGCACCCATCTGTGCTGAGCTAGGAAGCAGCCTGGGGACCATGGGGTGTTAACGGAGCTGGCTAATCGCACTGCAGCCCAGAGGATGCAGGGAGGTGTCAACAACACCCAGAGTGCACCTGGAGGGCTCTCCCTGGGGAATCGGGCAGGCACTGCCGGCCTGGGGCATTCTGGGTGCCCTGGTCCTGACCTAGGGCGAACCCCCTGGGACATGCACCTTGTCGTCCAGTTCAGCCAGCAGCATCTTCATGGAGCTGATCAGGGTCTCATAGTCCTGCTTGGTCTGCATCAGGAAGCGCAGCTCCACGTAGTTTTTCTGGTTTAGGTGGACATTTTTCGAGGACTTGAGGAGACTCAGCACCAGCATGAGTTCCTCGTGTTCTGCTTTCAGACTCTGGATTTCCTTCCTGAGGGAGGGAGGGCTTAGTCAGCCTCTATATGCACCCTAAAATGATGCCTGCGGAGGCTCCCGTGCATTAGGAGTCTGAGATGAGAGCTACCCTGGGCCCCAAGTCCCAATCTCCCCAGGGGAAACTCTGGGCCGCACCTGTGAGAGAACGCGCCGTCTGCAGACAGGGGCCGGGACTGCCCGGCCTCAGCCCCTCCACGGCCCCTCGGCGTGTCTGCAGACAGGGGCCCGGACTGCCCGGCCTCAGCCCCTCCACGGCCCCTCGGCGTGTCTGCAGACAGGGGCCCGGACTGCCCGGCCTCAGCCCCTCCACGGCCCCTCGGCGTGTCTGCAGACAGGGGCCGGGACTGCCCGGCCTCAGCCCCTCCACAGCCCCTCGGCGTGTCTGCAGACAGGGGCCGGGACTGCCCGGCCTCAGCCCCTCCACGGCCCCTCGGCGCTCTGCTCACCGCACGCGCAAGCAGGCCCTCTCCAGTAACGAGCAAACGTGCCGGGTGGGATTTTCAGGTTTGCCTCCACACATCACTTCAACGGCATCCCAATTTCTTCCCCCTCCCCGCTTCCAGCCCTGGGTGTTGAACTCTGGCCTGGGCGCCGTCCCTCAGCTCTTCAGCTCAAGGCGAGCGCTCTACCACTTGAGCCACAGCGCCACTTCCGGCTTTTTCTGTCGTGCTGAGGAATCGAACCCAGGGCTTCGTGCATGCCAGGCAAGCACTCGACCGCTGAGCCACGTTCCTGGCCCCAGGACACCCCAATTTCAAGGGTTCTCAAAGGACACGCGGGCCCTGGGCGTCTCCAGCCTCCCGCGGGAATTCCCCGCTCTCCGGCGGGACCTGGCGGCGAACAGCCACGCCCACTCCATCACTAGGGCCCGCCCCGCCTGCAGCCGCAGCTGATTGGACCAGGAATAGACCCCTAAGCCAATCAGAGCCTCCTCCTCCGGGGAATTTGGGGTTGGGATGCAGTCGAGGCAAACTGTGGGGCTGGAGACGATCCTTGAACAGCTCACGAGGGGAGAGGCGCGAGAACCAGACAGGGCCTTACCAGAGACCCGCGGGCCCCGCCTGGGTCCTGGAGTAGCCTCCCCCCTCCCAAGTGGGCTTGTCGGGAAACAAGTCCTGGGGGGGGGAACGCCACGGCCCACCATCCTCCGTGAGAGGCCCTCACGGCTGGCTGCCCCCCCCCGTCACTCACGGCTGGCTGGCCCCCCCATCACTCACGGCTGGCTGCCCCCCCCCGTCACTCACGGCTGGCTGGCCCCCCCATCACTCACGGCTGGCTGCGCCCCTCCCCAGGTCACTCACGGCTGGATGCCCTCCCCCCCCCCCCGTCACCCACGGCTGGCTGGGCCCTCCCCTCTCCCCCCTCCTGCCCTCCCCACTGCCCCCGATCACTCACTGCTGACTGGCCACCTTCTGCTGGCTGCGGAAGTTGAAGGACTTTCGGCTCTGCACCATCTTCCGAAACTGCTGCCGCACCTTGCGGAGCTCCGTCTCGGCCATCTGCTCGCGCGCCCTCTCTGAGGGCTCCCCAGGGCCCTTCCACTCCTTCCTCCTGTACTTCTTAGACTGTGAGACGCGGGGGCCAAGGGTCAGGGGGCCGGGCAGGCCGCGTGGGGGGCGGGGGCAGCCGGACCCACCCTCCTCTGCCCGATGTCAGAAGTTGGGCCTCCCTCCCTGCCTCCCCTACAGTGGGCACAGGGAAGGGGCGTTCTCCGAAGGCCTGGGTTCGAGTCCAAGCGCTACCACTTGGTGAGTCTTTGAACATCACAATGCCTCCAGTCTATAAGATAACGCTCCGGGCGCGACAGGAGAGCAGAACGTGGGGACACTGTGCGGCCTGTCCCCAGGGCTGCCGCCACCTACCAGCATCATCGCCGGGGACTCGGGCTCTCCTTCCTCTCAGACACCGGACCCAGGGAGGCTGAAGCGGGTCGCGCCTCTGTCCCCCTCTGTCCCTCTGTCCTAATATCCTGTCCACAGAGGCAAAAGAGGGAGACTTTTGGGGCCACGCTGCGGGTGGCCAGGTCCCAGGGCGTCGCCCGATCCCAGGTGCACACAGCCCCTGGCTCTGCAGCAGATGGCGGGGTGCGGGAGGAGCCCCCACCCCCTCAAAGCCGCGTCTGTCGGGAACTTGTTCCTCTTCCAAGTTATTCTCAGGACTTGGGCAGCTGGGCAGGCATGCCATTTGCCCTGCTCCTCCCGAGCTCCCAAGGAAAGAGGGTAAGATGAGGGGACGCCCCCGGGGGGAAGACACGCGGCACCCGCACCCGCCAGCGGGAAGCATAGGTGTGCTGGGCGGGTGGGCACAGGATGGCGGAGGACAAGGCCCAAGGCGCCCGCAGAGCCCTGAATTTCCTGCGATAAGTCCCGCCCCTCAATCTGTCACTCAAGCCCGACCACACTCTACCCATTTCCTGATTGGAGCATAGGACTCTGGGTGAGCCAATCAGAATGCCAGTGTTCTGCCTAATCTGCATATGTTATTTTATTTTATCTCTCAGCCAGTAGTGGGGCTCGAACTCAGGGCCTAGGCGCCATCCCTGAGCTTTTTCCTCTCAAGGCTGGTGCTCTACCACTTGAGCCACAGCTGCACTTCTGGCTTTTAGGTGGTTCATTGGAAATAAGAGTCTCACAGGCTTGCCCAGGCTGGCTTTGAACCTCGATCCTTAGATTCCTGAGTGGCTGGGATGCCAGGCCTGAGCCGCCGGCGCCCGGCCTGATGGTATTCTTTATGGCACTTTCATCACACAGTTTGTTCATAGCGATTAAAAGCAACTTCCAGAATCGATGGCCTAAACACAATTCCCGAGCAGGCCAAGAGCACTGGCCGGGGACCTCTGACCCCCGTGCGGCCCCCAGTTCCTGGCCCATTAAAGGGCTGTACATCTCATGTAACGGAATGTGTCTGTGGAGGACACCTCTGCAGGCCGGGGGAATGCGGCCTGCGAGAATGGCGGCCCCTTCCCCTGGACTTCGGGCTCAGAAGTAATTATCCGGGACGGGAAACACCCCTCCCCTGTCAATTCAACAGGATCCGCTGTCCTGTGGACAGGCGGGCTGCCTAGGGGTGGCTTCCTCTCCGAGCTTCTGCTTAATGACGGAACGGAGCTAAGTTCTCAGAGCAGCCCTGCGGGCGCAGAGACCCGCACTCGGCTTCCAACCCCGGGGTTAGGAGAAGACGATGGACACCGAGCCCGGGATCGCCCCGCTGCGCCTCTGCCCGCGCCCAGCAGAGGGCGCCGCGGCGCCCGCTCCCCGCCGCCGCTCACCGGGCGCCGCCGCTCCCTCGCGGGTCTGGCTCGCGGCGCGCACGGCCCGCGCCCCTGGAACGCGCACGCGCCTTTGTGACTGCACAGCCCCCACCCCGCGTTCCCGCCGGAGCCCCGCCTCTGCGGCCCGGGGGACCCCCACCCGACCCCGGGGGACTCTCCCACCCGGCCCCGGGGGACTCTCCCACCCGGCCCCGGGGGACCCCCACCCGGCCCCGGGGGACTCCCACCCGGCCCCGGGTGCCACCTCCTCCCGGCTGTTCTGCAGATCTCCCCGCAGCTAGCCCTACCATCCTCCCCAGAGAAAGACGGACGGAAGGACAGACAGACAGCACATGGGGGGGGGGGCCCCAAACCAGTGCCGGGAACTGGGTGCCAGGCAGTCGTGGGCCTGGCCATCTCCAGGCCTCGAGGAGAAAGCGGGGTGCCCAGTGCCCACTCACAGGGACCTCAGCCCTGCAGACTGCAGTGTCTCACAGGCGGCTCAGTGTGTACCCCAATCCCAAAGGTGAATCTTGGGGTCCTCACCCCAGGGACAGGTGCTGGCTGTATTTGTGTTGTGCCTGTCTTGGGGTTTGAACTCAGGGTCTGGGCACTGTCTCTGAGCTTTTTTGCTCAAGGCTGGCCCTGTACCATTTGAGCCACAGCTCTATGTATGGCTTTTTGATGATTCACTAGAGTTGAGTCTCACAGAGCCGGGCGCCTGTGGCTCACACCTGTAATCCTAGCTACACAGGAGGCTGAGATCTGAGGATCAATGGTTCAAAGCCAGCCTGTTCAGGAAAGTCCATGAGACTTATTTCCAATGAACCACCAAAAAACCAGACATGGAACTGTGGCTCTTGGGAAAAGAGTGCCAGCCTTGAGTGGCAATGCTAAAGAACACCATGAGCCCAGGCTCTGAGTTCAAGCCCCAGTACCTGCACCCAAAAGTAAATAATCATATTCACTGGGGATTTGCATAGGACATGCATGGCATCTGAGTTGCTCTCACCCCACTTCCTTCTCTCCCAGCCCTGTGTGCCAGAATCCATGGTACAGGCCGAGGCACAGGCTGCCTTTGCTTCTGGCTTCCTGTAGGGTTTGACAATGGGAGGGACTAACAGGATACCAGGTGGGAGTTGTCCTTCTTCCACTGTGTCTGATGGTCTCCTCTCCCCAGAGCTGCGGCTTCTGTCGCTGGGGTCTCTCTCCCAGCACCAGCCTTCCGTCACTCCCCTCCCCCTCCAGGCTGGTTCTCTGTGCCTCAACCTCCCTTTCCTGTCCCCTCAGCCCTGCGCATGCTCCGACGCTTCTCTAAGCTCTTGACCCCTTGGGCTGCCACTTGGAGTCAGGGCTCTGTCCCGCCCTGGGCCAGCGGCTCGCAGCCAGCACTCACTCCAATTTGGCGTGGGGAGCGAAGCCAGGGGTGGGCTGGCGTGACCCCAGCCACACGTCAGACTGGTACAGGAGAAGAGCGGCCTGCAGGGGGCACCCCAGACCAAGGAGAGGGGCTGCCCTCCCCGCCTGCCTGGCAGCTTGCAGGCTGTGGAGAGGGGCCTGGTTCGCCCCAGAAGAGAAGCATAAGGAGGCTGGCGAGGGTGAAGGCATGCGGGCACGGGCACGCGCACAAGGTGGGGTGCTACCAACCCGGGGAACGCCCCAAGACCAGCACCCAGGGTGTGTGTGTGTGGCAGTCCTGGGGACTGAACTCAGGTCCCTGAGCTTTTGTTGCTCAAGGCTAGCGCTCTACCACTTGAGCCTCAGCTCCCTTTTTGGCCTTTTGGGGTTAATTGGAGTCAGAGTCCCATAGACTTTCTTGCCTGGGCTCCTTTGAATGGCAATCTTGGGAACTCAGCCCCCTGAGTAGCTAGAATTAGAGTTGGGGGTCAGTCTCCACTTTGTAAAGAGGAAAAATGCAAGCACCCAGCTCAGGACCCCTGACTGTTGCTAAGGCATAGCAGTTACACCCCTTGCAGCCAAGCAAGGACCCCATTTTACTTTGGTTTTATTTGGTTTTGTTTTGCCAGTCATGGGGCTTGAACTCAGGGCCTGGGCGCTGTCCCTGAGCTCCTTTTGCTTAAGGCTAGCACTCTACCACTTGAGCCACAGTATCATTTCAGGTTTTTTTCTGTGTATGTGATACTAAGGATTTGAACCCAGGACTTCATGCAAGCTGGGCAAGCACTCTGCCACTAAGCCACAGTCCCAGCCCAGCACCTTCCTTTGGAACATGCAGGGCTGTTTCCACCTCACTTGTGGACTTTCACCCCACCCAGCAAGAGCAGGTGCCCATTTCTTCCCAGGAACAGTCGCTGGTCTTGTGATGGCCTTTGACCCACGGAATGCTGAAGGGGCGGAGCTTCGTGACTGCAAGGTGGGTCTGAGCAGCCAGCATGCGGTTCATGGGGCTCAGCTGAGTGAACAGCCCCAAGGAAGGTCATATGGAACAGAAAACTGACCTGGCCACTGGCCATTAACAGGAATAAGAGAAAAGTTACAAATGACTTATTTTTAGCCCCTAAGTTGTAGCCATTTTTTTCTTCAAGACCCTGTGAGTGTTGCTGGTAATTATTATTTGGAATAATCTAATTACAAGTGCCATTTTCAGGTCTTTCCCAGGACATGTGGGCTTGGCCATCTGCACACACAGCCACCAACCAGGCCTAACCATGCTCACGAGCACTCACATGACATGCACACACACACACACACACACACACACACACACACACACACACACACACACACAGAGTCACTTCTAGAGAGATCGACAAGCCAAAGTATTGTTGGGCTTGTTCCCCATCACAGTGTCCTGGCTTCTGGGGCTGGGAGCGGAGGGAGTGCAGACCTGGGGTGCCAGCCAGTACCCCAGGCAGTACCCCCCTGCAGGCAACAGGGAAACACAGCACACCCCCCCCCCCCTTTGCAAACACAAGCCTCTGGCTCTGTGAGTCGCCCGGCATCAGGTCCCATGGTCCCCATTTTGAGGAGGCCTGCGTTCCCCAGGACGCCCAGCCCTGTCCACTGAATTTCCTTCTCTTTTGGGCCCCTGGGCATCCAGGCCAGGGTCCCCGAGTTCAACCTCTGAGTCTGGGAAGCGATCCCCTCCTCAGACCAGCTTAGCCCAATCCGCCTGCAGCCGGGGATGAGGGCACCGTGCAGGCTCAGGTGATCGGCCTTAGCTGGCCTGCTCCCCTCCGTGACCCCGAAATCCTCTCCTGAGATTCTGGCTGGATGGTCAGGCAGGGGTGCCCTGCGGGAGTGCCTTCCTTTCCTGGCACCTCAGCACTCCAACACGGGGGATGCCCAGCCCCACCCCACCCTGAATCTGGGTCACTCTAAAGCACCTCTGAATGCCACACGATTTAATCTCCCACAAAATAAAAGCTGATCAAATCAACGCTCATCCAATTAAAGAGCTGGAGAGCTGCTAGAATGTTCTGTTGGATTTTCCTTCTGTTTCTGGTCAGCAAACCCCAGTTCTCTTGGGCAGGCCACCCCTGGCCCTCCATCTACGCTGTCTGCAGCCAGCCTCCGACAGGGCGGAGCTCGGCTCACCCAGCTCCTGTCCATCTGGTTGTCATCAATTGGAAAAAAAATACTTAATTTAGCTGGGTGTCAGTGGCTCACGCCTGTAATCCTAGCCTTTCCACCTCGGCCTTTCCCATGATCAGTTCAACAGCACTTCCTATCTCTGGATTGCTGAGATGTTTTTCCTGCCCTCCTCCTCTTCCTCTTCCTTCTCTTCACCCTCCCTCCCTCCTCTTCCTCCTCCTTCTCTTCTCTCAACCTCCTCAAGAAATTAGTGATGAGAGAGTTGAGTCAAGGCACAGGCAGGCACAAGCCACCTGCAGGCGACAGTGCAAAAGTCCTGTGATAGCTACCCAAGGATGCCCGGGCAGAGCGGGAGGGAAGGCTTCCAGCTGGTGGCAGAGTGGCCATGCTGGCGGAAAGACAGCCTTGCTGGGAAAGAGACAGACAAACAAGCCGAATGTGGGTCCCCCAAGAAGTGGAGGACAAGAGAGGGCTTTCTGATGCAGCCTGGGG